AGAATCGGGAATATCCCATGGCTTATATATTCTTTTATGGCCGTTATTATTAATTCAAATGCTCTTTTTGTGTGCACGGTATTCAATTGTATCACATTGTTGAGAGCAGCTTGTTTGAATGTGGGATTGGATTAATGATCTGTAATATATTTTTACTCGTTTCATTAGTGAGTAAAAATTGTCTAGGCTACACAGACGAATGGTATGGGATCGTGGTGTGCTCGCGAATGTTATAGGTCAAGGTCGCATTGATAAGAATGTCACATAGCAGGCATGCGTTATGGAATTGAATGTCATAGAGTGTACACATGAATGTCACGCCTCACAATTGTTAGCGTATCTCCCCGCTCACCCCCCCCCCCCCCCCCCCCCCCCACCCCTGAGTGGTAACAGGCTGTCTTTTGATTGGCTGAATGGTTTTGTTTATTTATCGAGCTCTACAAACTTAACAGCCTAGATTGTTGCTGTGTCGTTGGGTGTGGGGGAAAGGGGAGGGGGGGGGGGAGTGAGGGTCATTTGACTTAGTTATTTTTAAATCAGGCTTAAGGTGTGCGTGTCTGTCCCTCAGTCCTCATCAAGCTCAGTGAAGCATGTCCACAGCTCGGCATTACAATGAATGTCCCCCTCCCCCCCACACCCCCACCCCAACAAGTCCAAACCACTCACGCTCGTCATAATTATTTCATCACCTCACCTTAACGACCCCCACTTGCCCGTGCGCCGACACACCCGGCTGGTGATATTTGGGCGCGTGAATCACTGTACCGTGTCGCCACGGAATTCATGCACCGTGTCGCGATTTTCACAGTTGTCGGATCAGTCGGACGAAGACAATGTGCCGAAACCGCTGGATCGAAACACCTAATTCCCCTGGAGGTTCCATTTAATCGGCTTAAACTTAACCCAAACCACATGTGTGTAAGATTTAATTAGCAATTAGGATACGATTAACCTCACTTCCGGTGCAAAATTATTTTTTCCCCAGAATCATTTAAAAAATATCGGCACTTGTGTTTTCAGCCAATAATGTTTTAGTTTACTTAAACTGGTAATGCATTTTATTGCAGAGAAAACGTATTTTTCTTAGCAACGCCCGGGTTCATTTTCCCCCATAGCACGCATACATTTTTTATGGGATTTCCATAATCATGAGGTAGTTAGCTATGTAAATTGTGTATTTTAAATTAGTTTGGATCCCCAGATAATGGTATCGTTACTCAATCTAGTTTATGCACACGATTGGCTCGTGCAAAGCTCACGGACTGCAAGAGAAGGTAGAATTTAGCATTTCTAGCAGGTTGCTAGCAACATTTATCTCTAAGGGGGGAAAAGCTAGTGCGCAACGCGTATTTTGTGTGCGCGGTGTTCTAAGCTTCTTATACAAGGATATTTGTATTTTACAAAATGATTGCGCGGCTGGTTTTAAACTACTGCGCGGCTGCGCAGCTTAGCGGGAACGTTGCTTGCTAGCCTCCAGACCCGTGGGTTTCTTTCTGGTTTTTCTTCATGCTCTAGTGCATCTGGTTTAGCTATGAGGTGTGGATTTTGATGGGTAGGGAGTTTTGGGTCACAAGCTTGTATTCTACCACTAGACCACGACGTCTTTACTAGGAGTGTTGCATTGAAAGCAACGGTTTTGATCAAATTAATATAGATCTGTACTAAGACTGTACCAATCACACGTTTGTACAAACCAAATGTCCAACTGTACCAATCAAAATAGCCGGCGCTTCAAACCGAATGACCGATATTACAAGCCAAATGCCCGACTGTACTCAACCTATTTTTGGTAGCAACACCCCTCCCCTCTCCCCTTGGCATGGCGCCGTTCACGTGACCCCAATGGTGTCACCGTGTGGGAACACAGCGCCGACCTTTGCGGTAATTCTCCACTCACGGCAAATTTCACGTGAGCCGGCAACTAATTCCTGCCGGCGTCTGTGTCGCTACAAGTGCATACACCTACACTTTTAAAACTGACACTAAATTATCCTTCTCCCCCCCCCCCCCCCCACCACCTCCCTTCCTTTTTTTTCTCGTTCTCTTTCTGCACATCTTTCCCATGTACACGCCAATACCAAGGTCGTGACCTAGGGGCAGGAGTTATCGGTCCTGGAGTTCAGGTCATGTAGCTGTCACCCCACCCCCCCCCACCCCTACCCCCCAGGGCATTTGTTTACCCTCTCATTAGCAAGGCCGGGCCCAGGTACTCTAAACACCCCGGCTCAGTGACGTCTCATTAAAAGTCAATCACTCAGAGTCAGTTGGGGATGTGTCGGACATGGCGTCCTTGTGCCGGGGGGGGGGGGGGGATGTGTCCGACATCGTGTCCGTGGGACGGGCCGGACCTGGCTTAAGCCGCTGGACAAACACACCTGGTCGATTCTCTGGTCACCTCCCACCCCACCCCATCACAGAGTCACTTAAGATTATGTTTGTACGAGTCAGATATATAACAAAATACACCGAGATAAAGTTTCACTGTATTAAAAAAAACAACAACTTAAGTTTAAGATTATGTTTGTACGAGTCAGATATATAACAAAATACACCGAGATAAAGTTTCACTATATTAAAAAAACAAAAACTTAAGTTTAAGATTATGTTTGTACGAGTCAGATATATAACAAAATACACCGAGATAAAGTTTCACTGTATTAAAAAAAACAACAACTTAAGTTTAAGATTATGTTTGTACGAGTCAGATATATAACAAAATACACCGAGATAAAGTTTCACTATATTAAAAAAACAAAAACTTAAGTTTAAGATTATGTTTGTACGAGTCAGATATATAACAAAATACACCGAGATAAAGTTTCACTATATTAAAAAAACAAAAACTTAAGTTTAAGATTATGTTTGTACGAGTCAGATATATAACAAAATACACCGAGATAAAGTTTCACTATATTAAAAAAACAAAAACTTAAGTTTAAGATTATGTTTGTACGAGTCAGATATATAACAAAATACACCGAGATAAAGTTTCACTATATTAAAAAAAAAAAACAAACTAAGCTTAAGATTATGTTTGTACGAGTCAGATATATAACAAAATACACCGAGATAAAGTTTCACTATATTAAAAAAACAAAAACTTAAGTTTAAGATTATGTTTGTACGAGTCAGATATATAACAAAATACACCGAGATAAAGTTTCACTATATTAAAAAAACAAAAACTTAAGTTTAAGATTATGTTTGTACGAGTCAGATATATAACAAAATACACCGAGATAAAGTTTCACTATATTAAAAAAACAAAAACTTAAGTTTAAGATTATGTTTGTACGAGTCAGATATATAACAAAATACACCGAGATAAAGTTTCACTATATTAAAAAAACAAAAACTTAAGTTTAAGATTATGTTTGTACGAGTCAGATATATAACAAAATACACCGAGATAAAGTTTCACTATATTAAAAAAACAAAAACTTAAGTTTAAGATTATGTTTGTACGAGTCAGATATATAACAAAATACACCTAGATAAATTTTCACTATATTAAAAAAAATCGGGCATGAACCAGGTCAACTAGTGCACAGAAGACAGAATTAGACCAGGCCGGCATCAAATTAAAAAAAAATAATTAACGGAAATTATATAAAAATGTTGGAATAATTTACTCATTTATAATATAAAAAATAACCCGAAATGGAATCACATAGATCCATATTAAAACGTAAATATACGTACAGAGATGTTCCAGATAGCTTTAGTATGGGGTTTTCAATAATTGATGGTTATTTAAATTAAAATGTTCAGATTTTTTTTATTTGTATGCAAATGAAGCAGATTTTTGAGAGTGTGCTTTCATCCATTATGAAGATGAGAATCGCTGTTTTGGTCTTAAAATCTGAACAGGATAGATGTACATCTGCTGGGGCAGATAGAGTTGTGTTGTATGCAGATACAGTTCTGTGAATAAGTAAAGGGCAGAGGTGATTCTGCTTAGGGTAGATGCAAGTCTGTTCAGGGCAGATATACCTAAGTATAGGGCAGATTAATACTGCACAACAAACATATACTTACATTACTGCTTGCCACTCGTTTTTATACAGCTACTTTAACATTACATTCTGATGAATCATGTTGCCACTAGCTACGTAAATGTACTGACCTTGAACATGCTACCTACATTTGATTGACCTTGGACCTACGACCTTAAATTGAATATCTTGGACTCACGACCTTATTTTAATGACCTTGGACCTACAAGGTTAATCTGAATAACACTGGACCTACGAGATTCATTTCCATGACCCTGGAACTAAGATCTTATATCGTATGACTTTGGACCTATGACCTTAATTTGAATGACCTTTGTTTTGTTTGTTCGCGACAATCATTTCAATTGAGCAGCAAATACGTCAGTAACTAGAGCAAAGAGACTGCTGGCAGGGGAAAAGGGGGGGGGGGGGGTAGAGGGGGTGACTGGTGAGGGTATCAATGTCAGTGGCATAAGAGAAGTGGTAGGGTGGGGGAAGATGGGCGTGCTGTGAAGGCATATACACGGCCACATCCACATCGTTACATAACTGGGGTGGGGCGGGATGGGGTGGGGGGGGGGGGGGGGCACCGCTGAGAAGAAACGTTCGACAACTCCCAACAAGTGACATTTGGCTACTCAGATATAATTACACTTGGAGTTACATCGTAACATTTTGTTGGCCTATTGCATCTCGCCCACTCCACCCCACCCCACCCCACCCTCGCTAACTGTTGGCTAGAACAAAGGGAAGTAACCATGTTCAATCTATAACCATGTGAATGTTAGCCTTTTAGAACTACTCTGAAATTCATTAAAAAATCGACACCATATCAAGTTAACATTAGAATACGTAACTTTCAATTACAATAAAAAAAAATACATACGTAAAAAAAACAACGAAAGAAGTGCTTTTCAAAAGCCATCAACAGAATGCCATGTCTGTCTCAATATACCTCTTCACGTGCGCAGCGCATGCGCAGTGCACTTCAGCGCAGCAGAGGATCTATCCGTGTCCATAAATAACACCCAGGGGAACCAACTCGTGGCGAGGCTTGTCAAGCTTTGATATCTGACACTTACAATGGAAGGAAAATGAGGGTCTCAGCAGGCACGGCGCATCATCTGCTCGCGTGAGTTGGGGTTTGTGGTCCAATGTTGGGGGCTTGTGGTCCCATGAGTTGGGGCTTGTGGTCCTATGTTGGGGGTTTGTGGTCCCATAAGTTGGGGCTTGTGGTCCCATGGTTTGGGGTTGTGGTCCTATAAGTTGGATCTTGTGGTCCCATGTTGGGGTTTGTGGTCCCAAGTTGGGGCTTGTAGTACCATGAGATATGGCTTGTGGTCCCATGAGTTGGGGTTTGTGGTCCCATGAGTTGGGGCTTGTGGTCCCATCAGTTGGGGTTTGTGGACCCATGAGTTGGGGCTTGTGGTCCCATGCGTTGGGGCTTGTGGTCCCATGAGTTGGGGCTTGTGGTCCCATGCGTTGGGGCTTGTGGTCCCATGTTGGGGGCTTGTGGTCCCATGTTGGGGTTTGTGGTCCCATGTTGGGGTTTGTGGTCCCATGAGTTGGGGTTTGTGGTCCCATGTGTTGGGGCTTGTGGTCCCATGATTTGGGGCTTGTGGTCCCATGAGTTTGGGCTTGTGGTCCCATGAGTTGGGGCTTGTGGTCCCATGAGTTGGGGCTTGTGGTCCCATGAGTTGGGGCTTGTGGTCCCATGATTTGGGACTTATACAATGTTATGAAATGCTACTTATTCTAAATTGTAGGGCAGCTCTAGTCTGTAAAATATACCAAACCTTAGGCTGTTAACATATTTCAGAAACTGGTACCAGAAACTGGTAATACGAAAGCAGATTTGAAATGTTCCAGTAATTGTCTCACGCCAACTACTGACAGTACAGTGCCATCGACTCCACTCAGAGAGAAGACGTTTTAAGCTCTATCCGGGCCACCTCGTCAAACTTACCACACGGAGCTAAATGACCACGCCACAACGAGAATGCTCAACAAAGATTTCATCTAAATACTCTACTTTACCTGCCCTAATCTGATTGAGTACCCGCCCCATTGTAGAGCCCAACAAAGGCGAGATTATACCCCCCCCCCCCCACCCCCACATAACGACCAAACGACTCGCACATCCCGGCTATTTATAACTCGGCTATTTATACCAATCAACCAATCACCACAAGCTGGTGTATTGGGTTAATCTGATTTCAGCCTTATATATGGCCGGTAGTTCAGCAAACTGTTGGATCAGTTTGTCCTCACCCGCGTTTTGTTTGTTTGTTCATTGCGCCCTCGGCAAGCAAACAGACACAAGCCTAATGGCACTATGCACAACTAATCTAATTTATTCGCTGCACAATACCCATTAAACAAAGTAATATCCAGGCTCTGTACATTTATTCTGCGAATCCTGGCTATAACTCTCTGGATCAGTTTTGTGCTGGGAACTTCCACATCAAACTGATCACTTTTTACAGGATATTTCTTTAACAATCAGACTATAACGTTATTTTTGTGACGCAAATTTATGTCATAGTTAATACGCAATGTATGTAAATTTTAGCTTTAGTTTCGCAAAAATGAAGACATTAATTTCTACACTACACAAGTAGTGAATAACCGTTTCTCAGTTCCTACGGAACAAACATTTAGTATACAAAGTACGAGAGTAGCGCCCGTTTTCAGACTTTTCTTTCCCAAACTAAATCAAACCCAGTGCCAAAATTACCCCCACAATTCCCTTTTCTATTTCCGAGTCGGCCGTGTTTGTTAAATTTCCCTTTTTAACCCTTTAGCGACTGAGCTGGGTAAACACACCCATATTGGCGGGCTGGAACTGGACCCCGTGCCTGCGGCCATCAACCTAAACAACTTTTTTTTTTTCACACCCGACCTTATAATATTTCTAGCCATCGATACCGGCTACACGGTAGCTTTCATTTTTTATTTTCAACAACTGTAGCCTAGTTTTGTGTGTTGTGGATCTTCCTACTGTTTTCAATCGATGTGGTTTTTTGGGAAATACCCTCATTCGCTCTCAATGTAGCAGTATTGATTGTAGGAAAAACTTTAGCTAGAGATAAGTATATATATATATATATATATATATATATATATATATATATATATATATATATATATATATATATATATATATATATATATATATATATGTATTGTCCACTCTCCTGGATGCTGTCAACTTTACTGGATGCTGTCAACTCTCAAGTGGATATTATCCATTCTATTCTGGATGTGATCCACGGAGGATGATGTCCACGCTGTAGAGTGACTTGTCCACGCGTGTTGCATATTTACAACAAGGCGCAGCAGGCACTAAGACTGTGATGAGGCATTTCGAGCGCTAATTAAGTTAACAAATAGCTGCTGCATATTTAATGAGGCTTGATTAGGATTACTCCGAGGCCGACTCCACCCTCGCGACCCCGTCCCCCCTACTAAAGCATTATCTTGTGGTAGATCTAGAGCTGGGTCATTCGTAGTTTGCTCTCCTACTGTTCCATATCTAAATAAGTTGGCCCCGTATGCTTGACAGGTCGTTCAGCGTGTAACATTCATCGCTCTAATAGATCTGGCAAGTCATTTCCACTCCAATAGGTTGTTTCAGGACTGACGAAAAATTCCAGGTTGGGTAAGAAAAGTAACCTTCGGAGCAGATTCGACAGTGTTCAAAGGCAAGAAGATCTTAATGATCCCCACACTTTTCCGTTATAAAATACACGAGACAGCCTTTTTTTCTGATCTCTATATATATTATGGTCTTCAGCTCAGACCAGAGCTTTAAATTAACGCGAGTTGTGAATCACAAGGCATTCCCATAAGCTAACCCTCCGATCAATAGCACCGAGAAATATCGAAGACTTAGTACAGGAGAGTAGAGACTTTACTGGCCGCTCGGTGCGAGGAAAAAACAGGGTGGGGGGGGGGGGGGGGGCGGGAGGGGAGAGACTGGGATGAAAATAATTAGTTAGCCTAGAAAGAAAAAAAAAAGAAATTTTCTTTTCTTCAGTAAAAAAAAATTGAGCTCTTAGTTTTCTCCTGTTGTAGGAAACGAGAAGACGGTGGTTTCTAATTATTTAAAAAAAAAAAAGAAAGAAAAGGAAGACCGCTGGGACTAGAGAACGAGTGACATTTTAGTTTATGACGTGTGTGTGTGAAATTTCAGTCGCGACATCCGAGTTTAGACAATGTTAAAACGAGAAGATTTATCCAGGGGAATTAACTCTTTTATCTTCTTGTATCTGGTTCTCGAGTTATCCCACAGTGTGTTTATTTTTTAAAATCCTAACATCCCCTTCCCCTTGTGAACCCGGCGAGTTTAACCCTTGTTGAACCGGACCCCATGTGAAGATTTACCTACGGGATGAAGACCTGTCTGTTGTTATGGCTGTCACGTGATCCCCGGACCAATTAGGTCTCGCTCCTGCCACGTGACAGGGCGGATAAGTCAGTGCCGTGACCGGATCACGTGGGGTCAACAATGGCGTCCTCGCGAGACGCGGGGGAAGCGGTGATTTACAACTCTCGCGATCTCTCGTTTGTTCTCTCGGCTGACACGTTGTGTGTGTGTGTGTGTGTGTGTGTGTGTGTGTGTGTGTGTGTGTGTGGTCATGTGGTCTTTAAAACTGACACGTCAGTGCGCATGCGTGTTAAACACAGTCAGTGTTATATGTCAACATTGTACTGACAGTCGTTAGTTATTTAAATTACGGCATTGGCGTCATACAGCGTAATGTTGTGTTTGGAGTCTGAAAAACATCTAAATCCTAATGTTCGGAGATTGAATCATGGCTAATCCTCTTCTTCGAAGTTGGAATTCCGCCTGACCCTTGTATTTAAAGTTAAGAACCACTGGCCGACCAAAAAATATGACTAGAAAACTCGACTCCCCCTGCACCAATGTTATTCAAAATACAACTCGATTATTTAAAGAGAAAGACTTTTTTGTTACATATTTTGAACTTTAAGTCACTGTCATCTCTACGTAGACATTGCTGGTCAGTTTGTATGATAAAAATATACCAGCAAGCGACCCATGTTCCAAATGCCCCAAATGCCACCTGACCCCTATCAGAAGCCCCGCGCTGCCCCTGAAGCCACTCCGCTCCACGCAAACATTTCAAGGGAGACTAGCCGTGTCGGAACTGGCTGTTTCAGTGTTAATCTGGACATCTCTAATGTGGGTATTAAGTCCCTTGCGTGATTACGATTTTTATGTGAACTTTTTTCTCTCTCTCTCTCTCGGAAAACCAAGAGTTAACGTTCTTTGGGGAGGGGGGGGGGGGGGTTGTGTCGGTCATAAGAAGATTAAAATCTTGGATGACGCCGACATTAGACATTTGAGAACCCCTCGACATTATTCTTTAAAATAAAAATATTGTCCTGTTAAAATTTACTTTTTGAAATTTTAACCTATTATTAGATACACGAAGACAATGTGGCGGAACTTTCAAAGTAAATATAAAATTAAAATATTGTTCAATTGCAAATCATCGTAACCGATTAAGAGATTGAAAGAAACTCAATAGAAGTGGCAGGTGGGGGGGGGGGGGGGGGGGGTCGGTGGTTTCTGTGTGACACCCGTACATCCTAAATTGTATACAGGGTAAGAAGTTGCTAGCAACATCATCAGGGGGTCGGTCAGGTAGGGGAGGGGGGGGGGGTCAGGGGTTGGTGCCGGGTCAATGCCTGCCCTTCCTACAAGCATCCTTAGGCATATATTAACAACAACATTTCTCTCTGCATATGTGTGTGTGTATGTGTGTGTGTGTGAGCAGACCATCCCCACCCCGCCCACACAGGAGTTAGAAGTTCTCGAGTGCGTGATAAAAGACTACATTAGCAGTAACTTAGTTTCCCAGTGTTAAAAATAGAACAATGCGGTTTCAAAATGGTTTCTTGAATTATAGATTAGATTAAAATCACTGTTAGGACACTACATTGATAAAAAAATTACCGAATCAATACTGATATTTACTTCAGCGGCTATTTCACTTTAAAATATGCTGCTCGTATTAAAAAAATAGCTTGTATAAATCCTGTGTTTAAAATTATGAAAATATTTTATAATATTTGAATATAATAACGTCCTTTTAGTGTTGTGTATGTAAAGTTCTTTAAAAGTTATTACATATTCCTTCTAGTACCACATCCTACGTGTGATATATCCCTATGTCTGCCACATCCTTACTTGTACCGCATTCCAATTTGTACCACATCCCTAAGTATGCCGCATTGCTACGTGTGCCACATCCTTATTACTGACACAATGTCACTTGTACCACATCCCTATCTCTGCCACGTCCCTATCTCTGCCACATCCCTACGTGTTCCACATCTCTACGTGTACCACATCTCTACGTGTACCACATCTCTAAGTGTGCCACATCCCTACGTGTACCACATCCCTACGTGTACCTCATCTCTATGTGTGCCACATCTCTAAGTGTGCCACATCCCTATGTTTGCCACATCCCTATGTGTACCACATCCCTATTTCCGGTTTCATTATTTCACAAGTCTTAAAACCCGAACACATTTTTTTTCACATGATATAAAAATGTGAACCCATTTCGTTTATTGCCTGGACATTATTGCCCGTGTTGGGACAAGGGAGGCAAGAGTTAAAGCCCCTGGAGATTACGTCACAGTTAAGGCAATGGCCGCCGTGTCAACATTCAGCACCG